CAATGCCATACCCACTCCCCGTGCCCCTATTGTCAATCCTGACCCCTCTCCAGCCCCCTCACCCTCAGTCTATCCCCCAGACCTACCCAACCCCAACTCCAACAAAGTCCCCACACCTGAGGTAGCACATTGAGCCTCCCTCCTGATGCTCCTCCCAGACCTGAGCCCCCCTTCCCCTCCCAGTTATGAGTCCCCCCTCCCCCTCATGAACCTCCATCCCCCTGCCCACCTTTTCTGAATGTTTCATAAATACAGACTTCATTTTTTGGAAACTCAAAAAGGTGTGTTTATTGAGAGGTCAGGGAAAGGAAGAGAGGGCGTGGTGAGGCTGCAAGCCCTCTGTTGGGGAGGCCCTGGAGAGAGTTACTGGGGAACTTGAGAGAACCTCTCCCTCAGGACCTCCCAGATGCGCACTCTGGCACGATGGACCTGTCAGATGGCAGCTGTCCTTGTCTACTCAAATGCTTGCCCCTTGTGGCCAGCATCTGCCCCCTACCCTGGGAGGAAGCCCTCCCTTTTCTTCTCCACAATGTTGTAGAGGACAAAATATGCCGCGACCACCTCGGGGATGTAGTGCTCCCCCAGGTCAAGGCAGGTCAGCTGGCACTGGAAATGTGCCTTGAGGTGGGCAAAGGTGCACTCCACCTGGATCCGGGCTCAGTTCAGGTCAGCATTAAATTAGTCCCTGCTGGGATCTAGGTGTCCAGTGTATGGCTTCATCAGCCACAGCATGAGGGAGAAGGCCGTGCCCTCCATGAAGAGCAGTGGCATTTGCACATCCCCAAAGGCAAGTTTACAGTTGGGGGAAAATATGCCCACCTCCAGTTTGCAATACAGACTAGAGTTCCTGAAGAATTGGGCATCATGTGCCCTGCCAGAGCATCCAACAAAAATGTCTGTAAAGTGTCCCCAGTGGTTGACCAGGGCCTGAAACACCATTGAAAAGTAGCCCTTTCGATTGATGTACTGGGCCGCTTGATGATCAGGTGCGTGGATCGGGAAGTGGGTCCCATCAATGGCTCTTCCACAGTTCGGGAATCCCAGGGCAGAAAATCCGACCACAGTCATGTCCAGGTCTCCCAGACAGACGACCCTCTGCAACAGAATAGATCTGCAGCAGGATAGAGTTGTCTCCTGAAGAAGGAGACAAAGAAACACACAAAACTGAGAATGAGAGAGGGAGTGCCTGAGCCCTTGGGGAAGTGGGTCCCATCAATGGCTCTTCCACAGTTCGGGAATCCCAGGGCAGAAAATCCGACCACAGTCATGTCCAGGTCTCCCAGACAGACGACCCTCTGCAACAGAATAGATCTGCAGCAGGATAGAGTTGTCTCCTGAAGAAGGAGACAAAGAAACACACAAAACTGAGAATGAGAGAGGGAGTGCCTGAGCCCTTGAGAGGTGCCCACCCTGCTTCCCTTCCCCCCCCCCCTCCACAGCCAAGGAGCCACC